CTCAGGATAGCTGGAGCTCAAGAACTAGTTCTATAGGAAATGGTCCGAGGAACTTGGTCCGGCCTAATTGGACGTGGATCGTGTTTGTGCCTAGTGTGACGTCGGTCATGTTGTACCAAGGCACATGAGGAAATGCTCCGAGCAACTTGGATGGTTCGGACGGCAACGTGCCTATGGAATGTGAATGGTACGCTTGATCGTGTGCCCAGTGGATGTGGATCGTGTGCCTTGGTCCGTGTGGATCTTGTGCCTAATTAAGTAGCCAGTTTGCCTAGTGGATGTGGATCATGTGCCTTGGTCCGTGTGGACATTGTGCCTAATTAAGTAGTCAGCGTGCCTAGTGGATGTGGATCGTGTGCCTTGGTCGTGTGCCTTGATCACACACAGACAAAACGTGACTCGAGAGAATGCATCATAAGACACGAGGAAAATGCTCTGAGGAACTTGGTTGGTTCAGCCGGCAATGTGCTTATGGAATGTGAATGGTGCGCTTGGTCGTGTCCCGAGTGGATGTGGATCATGCGCCTTGGTCCGTGTGAACCGTGTGCCTAAGTAGTCAGTTGTTTTGATAAAGCAAAACGAAAATGCTCCGAGTAACTTGGTTCGACCAACATGCCAACTCTTGACATGACTCGAGTGCAAAAGAAAAAGTCACGTTTTCATAAGCGACCCCCGTATCCGTTATAAATGGAAATTTTCACATTCCATCGACTAATGATGGTGGTGTGGTAGCTCATGATATACTAAGTTATATGTTCCGATCGTATGCCATGACTTGTGTGCATAAGAAGAAGTCTCGTACAACAAACAAGTGCCAACTCTTTACATGGCCTGGTCGTGCCCGTAGAATTGTGTCCCTGTGCCTCGCATCGTGCCCGGGTTCATGGTTCGTGGCCGTGCGTCTTGCCCGTGTTCATCGTTTGTGGCCGTGCGTCGTGCCCGTGTGCATGGTTTGTGGCCTACGTCGTGCCTGTGCGGCGCTGTTCGTGACCGTGTGTGGTGCCCCTGTGCATGGTGCCCGTGCCTCATTCGTGGCCGGGCATATTACCCGTGTGCATGGTTCGTGGCCGTGTGTCGTGCCTGTGTGCATGGTTCGTGGCCGTGCGTCGTGCCCGTGTGCATGTTGCCCGAGCCTCGTTCGTGGCTAGGCGTATTGCCCGTGTGCATCGTTCGTGGTCGTGCCTCATGCCGTGCATCGTTCGTGGCCGAGCGTCGTGCCCGTGTGCATGGTGCCCGTGCCTCGTTCGTGGCCGGGCGTATTGCCCGTGTGCATCATTCGTTGCCGTGCCTCGTTCGTGGCCGTGCGCGTGCCCGTGTGCATGGTGCCTGTGCATCGTGTCCGTGTATCGTTCTTGGCCGTGCATCGTTCGTGGCCGTGCGTCGTGCCCGTGCATCGTTCTTGGCGGTGCGTCGTGCCTGTACATCGTGCCCGTGCTTCGTTCATGGCCGTGCTCGTGCTCATGCCCGTGCATCATTCATGGCCGTGCATCGTGCCCGTGCTTCGTTCATGGCCGTGCTCGTGCTCGTGCCCGTGCATCGTTCATGGCCGTGCGTCGTGCCCATACATCGTTCATGGCCGAGCGTCGTGCCCGTGCATCGTTCATGGCCCAGCGTCGTGCCCGTGCATCGTTCATGGCCGAGCGTCGTGCCTGTGCATCGTTCATGGCCGAGCGTCGTGCCCGTGCATCGTTCATGGCCGAGCGTCGTGCCCGTGCATCGTGCCCGTGCATCGTTCATGGCCGAGCGTCGTGCCCGTGCGTCGTGCCCGTGCATCGTTCATAGCCGAGCGTCGTGCCATACATCGTTCATGGCCGAGCGTCGTGCCGTGCATCGTTCATGGCCGGGCGTCGTGACCGTGCATCGTTCATGGCCGTGCATCGTGTCCGTGCGTCGTGCCCGTATATCGTGCCCGTGCATCGTTCATGGCCGAGCATCATGCCCGTGCATCGTTCATGGTCGAACGTCGTGCCCATGCGTCGTGCCGTGCATCGTTCATGGCCGGGCGTCGCGACCGTGCATCGTTCATGGCCGTGCATCGTGCCCGTGCGTGGTGCCCGTGTATCGTGCCCGTGCATCGTTCATGGCCGAGCATCACGCCCGTGCATCGTTCATGGCCGTGCTCGTGCCCGTGCTTCGTTCCATGCATCGTTCATGGCGGAGCGTTGCGCCCGTGCATCGTGCCCGTGGATCGTTCATGGCCTAGCATCGCGCCAGTGCATCGTGCCCATGCATTGCGCCGTGCATCGTTCATGGCCGAGCATCGTGCCCGTGCATCGTTCATCGCCGTGCTCGTGCCCGTGCATCGTGCCATGTATCGTTCATGGCCGAGGGTCGCGCCCGTGCATCGTGCCCGTGAATCTTTCATGGCCGAGCATCGCGCCCGTGCATCGTTCATGGCCGAGCATCGAGCTCGTGCATCGCGCCCGTGGATCGTTCATGGCCGTGCATCGCGCCCGTGCATCGTTCATGGGCGTGTTCGTGCCCGTGCATCGTGCCATGC